TATATTAGTGTATCGAAATTTCAATGGTTTTCACTCTACATCAATACTTCTTTTATGAAGATGTGTGTTGTCTACAGCGGAAGCGTAAGTTTCAACGTTTTCTTTAACCTGACGATAATCAATGCATTGTTGTAGCGACTCCTCTAGGGAAAAGTAACTGTTATTACCGATTTAAAAAATGACATATTCATCAAGAGAGTTGTTATGATGTGGTGCAACCCAAGAGGATTAATGTTATGGCAGTAAACTTTGAGGAGATGACATAACTCATGTTAAGCTTGAATAAGATATACTTCAGGACTTCAACTGTTCGCGCGAATCTACATAAGCTCTTCGTTAGCTAGTGACTTTATCAAGCATCGCTTGGAAAAAAGAGCTGCTTAATCGAAGAATTGCTTCGGACTGGCACCAGGAGGGCCTTAGTCCAAGTAGTTTTTAGGGCAATTACTATGATCGTTTTAGCAAATAGCTGCTGGGTATGTGCTATTCAAGTGGTATCCTATCTCTGTGTCTAGTTTGGAGTTTATACTCCTTTGAAAGTAGTACAGATATATCGCACGATTCCATAGCTACAACGTTAAATAGCCGCCTTCTATAAGCAGCCTTTTCCCCGAATTTCATTTTTTTGGTTAAATAAAACTTAAAATCTCACCTTTCCAACACTACATGGACATCTATTGACAAAATACGAAAGACTTCGACGTTATTTTTTAACTGCATTGCATTTTTCACTCCTTTGGTATTAAGAAATGTGCATTATAACAATACACTTATAAGATGTCAATAAAATTGGAAGAGCATATATCTTCTTTGAGTCAAATTCAAAGTTAGCTATTTTCTCTCCCATAAGTATTTTAAATCCAAAAGCTAATAATAATAAATTATCTAATCGTCTACCTCTCAATAAAATGATGATTCAATTATTTTGCTGTATAATTTTTCAACTAAAAAAGTTCATGAGCCACAAGTATTGAAAAATTACCCCAAAGAGCATTAAATTGCGCAACATTGTGTGTTTATTGTTGTTTCATTAAAATTACACCACATAAGTCTCATAAAATATCTTTTTGTTATACATATCCACATATACTATATATTCCAAGCATACATCCGCACTGGAAGCATATTTGTTCAAAAGTTACCTTTGGCCAATATTACTACATCATTGTCAAGTCAGCTGTTGCACGCAGAGTACCAAGCAAACGAAGAATCTTCCTCGCACAATAATGTGAGACGCATTGTCGAAATTGCGAAGTGCGCCGTGCACCGTGTGGCAACTGAGTTACAAACATCTTTGGCCTAAACTGAAAACTTCCAACGCTTCGCAATGTATATGTGTGCCAAAACTTGAAAATCTGCATGCCACATTGATGGCTACATGCGGCACTTTGTCGCCTAAAGTAGCTTCCTGACATTTTTTAGTTTATCACCTTGGCTAAGAAGCATGCCAGGCTCCGCTTTGGTTATTTAAACTTTTCTAATCAATTTTAATTATCATAGATATGTATGTGCACCATGTTTGTATGTGTGTGTGAATTGAAGGAGGCACAGCGTGACAGTGTACACCTTGCTGGAACTATGTCAACATTGTCATTGCCACCTGAGATTTCTTGTTTATTTGTTTGCCACACATGTAATTTATGTCTGTATGTACATGTGTAAAGCTGTGAAAATATTCCAATTTATTAGAAGTGTTTGCAAGCACGTATACTTTGCTACCCCTAGAAGTTAAGTTTGTGGCATACACATACAAATATACAAAACTTTCTATTCTTACTCATGATCTTATCGGATTTTACCCTAAATTGGAATCCTCTATGCATTCGCAATTCCACAAGCAATTATGTGAGTACACAAAGCTGCTGATGAAATGGATTGCTGTGGGGACTACTATAGCATATAGCTGCCATACAAGTTGAACGATCGGAATCAAGTGCTTGCACGGAAAGCTTTTTCATTTGACAAGATATCTTCACGAAGCTTGGCATGGGTTATCGCCTAAGGCAACAATGCAATCTTCGAAGAAATTGTTCTGATCGTGTCAATATAGCATATAGCTTCTATACCAACTAATCATTCAAGATTCTTGTAAGTTTATTACCGACAAAAACATCAAAAAAGTTCACAAGATAATTTTGGATGACCGTAAAGTGAAGTTTTTCGTGATAGCAGGCACTCTATAGATATCAACTGAATTTGTACATTATATGATTCCAGCATATTTGGGTATGAGAAAGCTTCGAGCAAAATGGGTGCAGCACGAGCTCCCTTTTGACCAACAGCAACGACGTGCTGATGCTTCGGAGCAGTTTTTAGCGTAATTGCGAGTTTCTGCTTCGATATGTGACAATACATGAAAAATACCTTTGTCATTTCACTTCGACAGTCACAACAGTCGGCTGGCAAGATTATGTCGTCTATATTTGAAGATGCGCGTGGAATAATTTTTATTGACTGCCTTGAAAGTACCATCCGCAGCGAATATTTATATAGCGTTATTGGACCGTTTGAGGGCCGAAATCGCCGAAAAATGGACGCATTTGAAGAAACAGTGCTTTTTACGAGACCATGCTCCGGCAGCGATACCGAGGGATCCATGAATTGTGCTTTGAATTGCTTCCGCATTCACTGTATTTTCCAGATCTACCTTCAGTGACTATTTCCTGTTATCAACCCTCGGAAGAATGCTAGCTGTGGCCTATTTTAAAGTAAAATACAAATCGTGCTACAAATGGTACAAAAGGTTGGAGCGTCGTGATTATCAATATATCACCCTTGGAGGGAACTATGCAATATAAAAAAAATTGCAAAAAAATATGTTTTACTATGGTAGATCGGGGACCTTTTAATTGATTTGTTAAGTACAATACAACAAAGATACCGTCTCTGTCATAACCAAATTATTACAATTCTTAATTTGCAGCGTAAGATTGAGCATGTATTGTGTGCTTAACACAATTTTCTTACGCTGGTACTTTGTGAGTTCGCCATTAGTTTGGCAATGGGCAAAGACGAGACAGTTTTTTATTTTGCAGCCACCACCGAAATGTAAAGTCTGCAATTTATCACATTATATAGCGGATATTACGCTGCTAAAAACTTACTTGCTTACTTCATATGTACTACGAGTGTTTCTATTTAGTTCTCCACCCCTCGCTTTCACCCAGTGACCACTCAAGATTTCTGCAGCGTTTTATTAGTACTTTATATTCTGCTAATTTTCCAATATTTACTCAATATATTTCAGTGAAAATATGAAAATTTGTCTCTGTACCGACGATCATGATTATTCCTTTCATGTTGCTTGCACAAGATTGCTTAGTATTTAACTTCCGTTCGTTTACGGACTTTCTTATCTCTTCAAGTTCATTTAATTCGTGACGATTGCTACAAATCCGAGTGATGGCAGGGCATAGATACGTTTGGTTAAATGTTTGTGTGCGCTTATTAGTTGAGTGTTGAGCTGATAAAATCAACATTGACTTCTTTGAATATTTTGTGCAAGCAAAGCGGTAGCCAGAGCAGATGTGGCAAGTGGCAAGTGGCAGCTGCAAATGAACTCGGTGGCAAGCATGTATGCGCCGGACGTGAGGCGAAATTTCTCTAACCTTTTGAGCTAGTGTAATTTTTCAACAATTTAACTTTTTTCCAATATACTTCACAAATTATTCTGCATGCTTTCCCACCGGAAACTCACGGCTTACGTACACACTGCTATGTATATAGTACATGCATACATACCACCAAAGTCATTCATCAGCTGGTGCAACTCCTCTTGTGCAAGTTTAATGTTGAGCATATTGTATGCACCCGTATATATGATATGAATATATGTATGTGTATATGCATGTAGAAAGCTCTTTCAGTGATGCTTCTTAGGTACTACAATAATACATTGCTTGTATTTGAAGCACACTCATCGTCTAAAGCAATTCATTTTGGTGCACCCAACTGCATACTCTTATATACTATATACCATACTGTGTATATATGTACATTATCCATATATATGAAGTGTGTGTACACGTCGGTTGAAACATGCCTTGTGGCATGTTAAATTGCAGCAGCAATGAATTAGTAGCTGACCTGTAACATGCATTGACTAAGTTCCTGTTCACCCAATGCAGTTTTTGCCATGCACGAACACCTGCAGGATGCTGCTAGCTTAAGTGCTTACCTTTCCGCATCAATGCAGGCAGTGCCCGTCGCTTTAGCCTCTTGTTAGCAACTTACAATTGAGGCCCTCCACTACTGTGCACATGCTGCAGAAGACTTTGGTTACTCTATTTAATGATGGTCACCGCAAGATGGCTGCACTTGACGCAGCTCTGTGCTTGTCTGCAGTACTCAGAACTGTTGAATACGATAGTGGTGTGGATAATAATGAGCATATTAAAAATTTATGTTGCAATTTGAAGTACAAAATTTGGAAGCCAATAAAATACTTCGTCCACTTCGGAGTGGAAATTTGCAAGCATTTACTTGGAGTTGAGCAAAGTTTTGTTTGGATAATGCTTGCACAGAACCACAACTCGTTCAGTTGTATTTGACTCTCTTGTTTGAAGCTGGTTTTCGATAATTTTTGGTGTGGTCTTACAAGAATTCGACAGTCTTTGCCATGAAGTGCGATTACGAAAACGCAACTGCTGTCCGCTGAAAGACAAAAATATAGTCATTGAAATACAGCATTTGTCTTATTTCTACGTTTTACGTGGCTATTTGATTTTTGGAAAAGATTTAAGGTGGTAAATGTTGTTCTTAAATTGTGAAAGCAAGTACTTTGGCTCTTAATCTCCACAACAAGATAGCGATTCCGATATGCCTCATATAGTATGTAAATAGCTTGTAATCTTTATAAAAGACGTGAAGATTCAATTTTGTGTAAACAATACCACGTTGTGTAAATAAAATATATTTAAGTTAACATATCACAAAACAAATATAAAAAGCGAGTACGGTGGAAACAAAAACACAGCTGAAGCAGCATTTTCAGTTATTACACCGCAGCAGTTAGTTGCGAAGATTATGGATTCGGAGTAAGTCGCACGACGATCGGGAGTAAATTCCTACAAATCACATACCGGAAATTAATTAAATTATTTTTTTAGAATTCTAGAGCCAATAGTGTCCACCGCAAGTGGCAAGGTGAGAGGTCAACTTCGTGAAGGTATCTACGGTGACACCTATTACAGTTTCGATGGCATACCTTATGCGAAGCCACCACTTGGTAAATTACGCTTCAAATCACCACAGCCGGTCGAGCCTTGGCTTGGCGTACGCGACTGTATCATATGTCCGGCGAAATGTATGCAAAGCAATCGTTATAATGGCGCGATTGAGGGCATTGAGGATTGCTTGTATTTAAATGTATTTACGAAGAAGGTGAGCTTGGCAACTCTTTAAATACAATAAAATATTGCATAACACTGTTTATTTTAATGTCACCTAAACCTAGTTACTCTCTGCAAAGCCTTTACCGGTCTTAGCTTATTTGATTGGTGGACGTTTTACAACCGGAGATGCCTCACGTAATAGTTGGGGTCTGGATTACCTTATGATGAAAGATGTAATACTTATAAGTATTGGATTTCGATTAGGTGCTTTAGGTAAGCGACAAATTATATGAGAATTCGAAGCCTGGATTAGTGAAACGTTTTAAAATAAAAAAGTACTTAAAACCGAAAAAAAAACTAGTGTCCAATTTCAAACCACTTAGGCTTTCTCAGTTTCCCGGAACCCGAACTTCAAGTGCCCGGTAATGCGGGCCTCAAAGATATCGTGATGGCACTACAGTGGATAAAGAAAAATTGTCAGTACTTTAACGGTGATCCCGATAATATAACACTATTCGGACACAGCTCGGGCAGCCAGGCAGCACAACTGCTCATGTATGTGCCGCAATGTGAAAATCTCTTCCACAAAGTCATACTAATGTCCGGCATGCAAATGCACTTGCGCCGCATTCCCCAACTAGAATATCGCTTCGCCAAGCACTTGGGATATAAAGGCCAAGAGAATAACCACGACATACTTGCCTATCTAAGCGCATTACCGGCAGAGCGCCTTTGCGATCTTGAAATTTTGACGCCAGAAGAACTCAAGCAAGGCCATTTTTTTGTATTCTCTCTTACACTGGAAAAGAAATCTGCGCCAGATGCTCTATTGACCAAGGACCCACTTGATATGTATGCTGATAAGCAATCTTGGTGTCACAGTATACCGCTGGTGTTAGGTGGCAACTCATTTGAGTCTCTTATGCACTACAAGTATTTCACCAAGGAACCTGAACTATATGAAACTCTCAGAAAGCATCCTGAGTACTTGCTCTCACACGAAGTCAGAGAGAAATGTGATATGCACATACAACAACAACTCGCAAAGAAGCTTATCCGCTTGCATTTAGGTGTGAAGGAATTGGATATTGAACAGTCGTTTGATGTTATGCGTGTAAGTATGTAAATGTATTTATGAACCCCATCTTGTGTATAAACTAAAGGTGTAATAATATATGTTTTCATTTCTGCATATCGTTACAGCTATCGTCATATGATTTTATGTACCATCCGATATATCGCTATCTCAAAACACGAATACCTAATGCTAAAGCACCTACCTATCTTTATCGCTTCGACTTTGACTCACCTTACTTCAACTTGTATCGGATAAAGCATTGTGGCCGTAAAGTGCGTGGCGTGTCCCATGTAGATGAGCTTTCCTATATTTTCTTTATGCCAGACTCATTTAAGCTGCAGCGTAGCTCGACGGAGTTTAAGATGATTGAATGCATGATAGATTGGATAACAACCTTTGCTCTCAATTCGGATCCTAACTGTGAGAAACTAAGCAGCTTAGTTTGGGAACCACTGAATGGAGATGCTCGCTATTGTCTTAATATTAGCGATGAACTGAGCTTTATCACATGGCCAGAGGAAGAGAAGTGCGTATTGTGGGATCAATATTATAAGGAGGCGGGTATAAGAACCTTTTAGTTGATAGTTTTAGTTAGAAGTGTCACAGTATGCACACATGTTTGGCAGAAAATATTATTATTATTATTTTATTTAATTTTTTTGTTTTGATATGAGCAATTGTTTCAATAAACTTATATGAATGAAGAAACATGTTAATTATATTATTTCTTTGGATTTAAAAATATATCTTAAATTTGACTCCACTAACTCCGAACTTCTGTAGTAAGTTTTAATAATTTCGACTGATTAAAACGCAAACCTTTCTGAACAGAAATGTGAAAATAGCAAGAAAAAGTATTTTGTCGTTGCTGTCCCTGTCGGTTTTGAAAACCCCTTTACAGCCACGGAATAAGGTTCTTTTTATGGTTGCAGTTGGAAGAAGTTGATCTTGAGCACATCTGGTTTTAAAAAGACGGAGCTTCGTGCCACACAACACTTGCAGCAACCGAATTGTAGCGAGAAAAGTTTGGAGATTCAAGCTACTGTGACATCGAATGACCTCCAAGAGGATGTGAAATGGGGGTTATTTGGAATCAATGATTTTTTGTAATAAAACAGACTCTCTTCAAGTTTTAGAAGTCAATATCGAAAATGCCATTCATGACATAAGACTTGATTTAGTGGAAAAAGTACTCGACAATTGGATTCATCGAAGTCGTTCGTAGACCAAAACTTCTACGACGACGATGACGTTATGTTCAAACTAATTATATCGCCTGTACTTCACATCAAATAAAAAACACTTGAATTTCCTTAACAATTACTGTGCTCTTATTAAAGATATCATAGGACTCTTATTGGAAAACCCTGTAACATACATACTGTTGACATATTGTAAAGCACGAAAAGTTCTCTTGCCAGCAAATGAGAAAATATTTGAAATAAACATGAGCAGAGCACACATTACTTTTCTTACATTCATCACAAATACAATATCAATCACGATAATTTAGTACACTTTACCATGACAAGCGTACAATATCAAGTTTACTTTTACTTTGCCGCCAAACGCAAACAAATGTAAATGTCAATAGAGAGCTGAGTGGATGAAATGCACAATCACTAAGCAGAAGACAAGACAAGTGAACATTCCAGCAATAAGAAGAAATCAAAATGTAAGTAGAGCGGCCAGTCCAGACGCTTTTTAATTTAATTTTTAAAAATTTACAAGTTTTTATTTTTAATATAAATTTTATTTAAGGGGGTAGTAGGGTAATCTGACTTTTTTTTTACATTTTTTTTTTTCATAGAAATTTTTATTCTATCAGGAGGTATCGTGGAGTGTACTTATGAACAAATTTTTTCGGAATTTTTTGATGAGATCTGTCGGAGAAATGGCTGATTGAATGAGATGCGTTTTTTTTTTTGCGTTTTTTTTTTTGTTTGCGGACAAGATTTATCATGTTTGGATCATCCCTACTAGAATCATGAAAAAATTATGATAAATAAAGAAGTAATTAACGTTTTTCTTTTTTTTTTTTTAATTCTTCCCCATGTTTATTTACATAAATTTTTTTATAACATTGTCAATAAATTATAAAAAATTATGAATCTAGTATTAAAGATAGCCAGGCGTTTTGTGAACATTAAAAAAAAAAAATAGTTCTACAGAAATCATGTCCGCCAATTTAAAAAAACAGGTGTTTTTAGAAGAACGCGTTTAAAGTTTGAGTTGTGCGCTCCGAGCGCACCGATCGTTGAGCAGTATTATTAATTTTGGGACTTTTTCGACACTTTACAATAGTAAAGTGGGTTTCGACATTAATTCTAAGGGTATAGGAGAACAGAAAATGCAAAAAAACTAAAAAAATTTTAAAGAAAACCCTTCTGACCCCTTAAGTATTTTAATATTAACTACAATGAGCAGTAAATAGTAGGACTTTCTTCGTAGTTTCAAAATTCTTAATTATTCTTCAAAATTTAAGTCGTCCCCCTTGGCACCAAAACTTTTGTGTCAACATTTTTTTAAATCCTCGAAACAAGTTTCAGGTAAGATTGACTCAAAACGGTTTCCCCGAAGCAGTCGCTTGAATTTGCTCAATAGCCAGAAGAGACACGATATTATTGGCGATTATGCTCAGAACTGCTTTAAGCCGCAAAAATATCGCTTTTGTCTAACATTAATACATCTACCAAACTCAAATGCTCGCTGGGTTAACATTAAGGCAAGCAAGTGCTTTGTTTACGCAACCACTCTCTTCGTCATGGCATAAATTCAGGCGCAGCTAAAATTGTAGTTATAGTTTTCAACTTTTTTTTTTTTGTGCATTATTTTCTCTCTGCTGTTGCGTGTACACACTAGAACTGATCAGTAAATATAATCGAGGTAAGTGCTTGTTAAACAAAATTGTCTTTTACCGCTCGCGACAGCGCCGTTGCGCCTGTCATGCTGTGCTTATCTGCAACTTGTACGCCCACAAAGGCTCCCTCGACGTTGAAGCAGAGCCGCAAAGCCATTTCTGCTGGCAGCGCGATACATACCACAGGTCAACGGTAATGTATAAATAAAATTGCTGTCATAATGTTTGCATGTAAACACACGTTCACACACCCATACATAGAAGCGTGTGCTGCATGTCGAGCCTTTGACGAGTGTTGAGTAGTCGGTGATTTCTTTGGTTTCACAAAAAAAAGTGGAAAATTGTTTTCCAACGTTAATGGAAAATTCTTATAATGGACTAACAATTTACTGCTGTGACACTGACATGCTTATCAGCGCCACAAATGCAAGCCACATGCCCCCCACCGCCGACCACCATGTAAAGCGTTGTTATGCTGCTTATCCGCTGTTAGTAATCAGCTTTTTGCTTGCCATCATAAAGGAAAACAAATTAAATATTATTTGCCGCAAAATAAGCGGCTGTCCGAATGTCCGCACGCGTGTCGCAAACAAGATTTCCAATGTAGATCCAAATCAAAGATGATAGCAGCATTTTAGGCGTGCAATTAGTGCGTGACAAGCTTGTGTGCCTTGGGCGTAGCGTACGCGCTTGCAACGCTTACACCACCACCGACGCATCAATTTCGATTATCATCATTTACATTGTCAGCACTGTTACGCCACTCAACCGGAAGCCATTCATTCCCATTCACCCACCCACACACACACACACAGTAATAATGTACAGTCTATATTTGCTTTTATTGCTGTGAATATGATCATCTTGTTGTTGCAAAGTTTGCTGTCATTGCTGCCATTTAAGTGCTTGGCTGTTGTTATTGTTTGTTGTCATCACTTTTGTTTGTCATTAACATTCATTGTTCGCTGTCATTGTCGATATTCCTTGCGGTCGCGCAGTTGATTTTGTATAAACGCTTTTGTGATGCGGTCTGCATTTTGCAATGTCGGCCATTTTCTGCCATTGCTATGTTGACTTACTCATAAAGCGAGGTTAAATTCAGTGCTTTACAGTAATTAAGCACGACAAGGAGCATAATTTATTTTAGAAGATATTTTATTGCATGATAAACAAATTGATCGTATTTCTATCTACATATGTGCATATGTATATGGTACAGTATATGTGTACAGTACATACTACAAGCACATAATTTCTGCCAACAATAATTATTTTGAAAATGCACTCTAATTGAACTGAACTATTCTCTAATTAACCTCATTAAGCACTTAGTATGGCAGTGGCTCTCAAACTGTCCGCTATTCTTGTAAGCAGTATAAATAAGACTCACTTTAAAGGCAAACTTATCACAACTGTATAAAAAAAAACCATAGAGAATGTAATTTAAAAAATAACTTATTTTTATTAAAGTTAAAGTTTTAGAAATAATTGTACCCCTTCAATGAAGAAACTTTTATAATTCTTCAAATATGACGAGTTTAAGAGATGAAGTACTCAAAGAGAAAAGAAAGTAAATACTAGTGATTCGTAATAGGAATAATAATCAATAAAGAGATACGCATTTGTATATACAAAATTTATTAGCGGACGAAATTCAAGAATGGTGGAGCCTTATATAATATCGTAGTGAGTAAGAAATCATCTGGGTATAACGGAACTACCGAAATTAACCAGATATCATAATACTAAGAAGCTGCATGAAGTACTGTACCGATTTTGTACCTACATAAACCTAAATCATTACTAGGAGAGTAAGATTCGGTACAGAATCAGTCCGCGAAACTGAGATTCTCACAACTGGTATTTGATAAAGGTATATACGGGCTCCAGTATTTTTTGCTGAAAGATGTCATATGCTTAATATACTACTATTGTGATCAAATTGAAAGGTGATTTTTGCTCACTTCTTCTCCTTCAAAATAATACCCTCCCGCTGCAATAAACTTATGCCAACGAATTTTCTACTCACTCCATCCTCCGTCCTGATGGCCATCAGAGCCTTCCTCGATTCAGCTTTTACATATATCCTCAATTGAGTCAAAACGGTGTCCTGTGTGGTGAGTGGTGAATTTGCTGAATAGCCAGAAGATACGCGAATGTAAATCAATCGAATGCCTTGGTGGAGGCACGATTTAGTTGAAAATGTGGCAAAGTGATCACGAATAACCAATGCAGTACGAGATGGTGCATTATCGCACTTCTTTGTTCAATAAATTCAGACATAGTAAAAATCGAAGAATCCACTTTTGGAGAGGTAGTAGTTCAACATGCTTCATAAGCTCAAAAATATTTTTTTAATGCCACCATATTAACATAACTCTTAACACACCAACTGATGGGCCAGTATTAACGGTACTATTTTACACAATTTTCAAGCATATGAATTCTTCGGCGAGGAAAGGTCACCTTATTGACCAAATTTCAGTGGGTCCTTTCTCGAGCCCACTTTTGGCCTTCAACTGCTTACTCTTTAAATTGAAAATTATGAAATACTAGGGGATCCAGCTACGCGTTGCTGTGGTATACATTTTATACCCTTATTTACATAATAAACTATTCAATACAGTCAAAATTTTATTAACGAATAAAGGCAAACAGGTTTATGTCGGTTTTTGAATATGTTCATACAAATAAATTTCATTGAAAAAAATAACGAACTTAAGGCCGCTTTCTCAATGTCCATAGTAGTAGGAGTCCATGCCGGACTAACAATGTGACACGTACTTTTTATATATAAAGCTTTGT